GGGGTTTGAAAGAACTCCTTAATCAGAAGGAGACTTATGCTGGGGAGTTAGTTCAAACACTCACTCAGGTTCAAGAAGACCTCCGTGTCTCTTCTGATAAGATCCAGTTCTAGGAGAGTTCCCTCGCCCTTTTAAAGGTTTCTTATGATGTTTCCTTGATTCAGAAATAAGAGCTGAAGGCTGAAATTGACCAGTGGGAGAAAGATTACAAAGCCCTTGAAGATAAATCGACACTTGATATAAGTTGGGCTTGTTTGAATACCTGCCTCGAGACTTTGATGGAGGCTAGCCAGGAAGGTTTTGATCTCAATGATGAGATTGCTAAAGCTAAAGAAGCAATTGAAAAAACTCAGCAAAGTTAAGACTTCCATTCACCCGGCGTTCCCGAAGGTGATGAACCTACTCCTGGTGACGTTGGCATTCAAGTTTCTTCTGCTCAAGTTGAATATTCTCCTGCTGCTGATGATGCCATATTGGATTCTGCCTTTCCCGTTGTTCATAATGCCACATTGGATTCTACTCCTTAGTGTTCTTTCAGAATTTAGTTTGTTTTCGGAACTTTTGATAGGAAGTTTTGTTTACTTTTTGGAATGGTTGGATAGTTTTTACCCCTGGTTCGTTTTGGGGTTTGTTTGAACATTTTGGTTTTAACTAAGTATATACTTGGTCTTAGCCAAGTTTAATATATGATCTTTCGTTTAATTTGAATTTTTGTTTAAACTCTTTTACTTGCATTTAAAAATGCTTTAATATTTCGTGATTTTGGCATAGATACGAATTTTATAAAAGAGGGCCCTTTTATAAACGTTACTAATGAAGAAGACGTGTCAATTTCATACTGGTGTAAGTATATGAGAGAAGTAGGAAAATACATATTAAGAAGTTTCTTGAATAATTTGAGGAAGTTTCATATCTTGAACTTTCAATTACATAGCACTTTACAAGTATTCAATTAACTTTTTGTACGACATCTACAACTCTTTCATAACTGTTTTTCTTATAACAGATTTAAAAAATTCTAGGGTATATCTTGCAACCCATGGCTAATCATTGTCCTTAACCTAAGTACTCGCAGGATCTTGTAATTTATGTCCGCGAGTTTACACTTTATCAAAGTTTACTACGAAGGTTTTTTGAATCACACTTGTTTCTTGGATCTTGATTGGCTCTTAACTTTTGATTTTTGGGTCCGGGCTTGAATTCTGACTTTTAGTCTTCTTTAGTCTTATTTGACTTTTAGTCTTCTTTGCCTTCTATCTATAGTCCCCCAAGTGTTAGAGCTTTGAAGTATGAAATCTCGAGCACTTGATTATTCCTTCAATTTGGTCCATTTCCTGAAAAAGAAAAATACATACGGGACTCGGAGGTATATTTTTAGATGATGACTGTTTAATCCTTTTTATTTCCATTAGAAAGGTTGTAACCCAGGCCGGGGATAATATTGTATCTCCCGTGTCTTTTAGGTCTAATATCATCATTCGGTGTGGGCTAGCTTTGTGCCTATCATCTAACATGGTTAGTACAATTAAAAAAATAAAATAAAACTAAACCATATACGAACGATACCTGACCAGGGGTTCTTCCTTTGCTTAGAAGTAATACTTCTTTAAATGAACATCATTCCAATTTGATGGCAGTACTTTGCCATCCTTGTTTCTAACTCATATGCTCCCTTTCTACCAATGCCTCGAATCCTGTAAGGTCCTTCCCAATTTGGACTCAACTTTTCTGCATTGGTCGTTTTTGTTGATTGAAAAACTTTTTTGAGAATGAATTCCCCAATCTTGAATTTTCTAAGATGAGCTTTCCGATTGTAATATCGCTCAATAATTTGTTTCGGCGCTGCCATCCTTATTAGAGCCGCTTCTCTCTTTTCATCAAGCAAATCGAGATTTATTCGCATCTCTTCCTCATTCGATTCTTCAGTTGCTTGGGTGTATCTTGTACTTGGTTCTCCTATTTCAACTGGGATTAAGACTTCAGCACCATATACAAGTGAGAGTGGAGTCTCTCCCGTACCTGTTTTGTTGTCATTCGATAAGCCCATAAGACTCCTAGTAACACTTCTGGCCACTTACCTTTTGACTCCTCTAATCTTTTCTTCAAGTTATTAATAATAACTTTATTTGTCGATTCAGCTTGTCCATTAGCCACATGACGGTAAGGTGTTGAAGTTATCTTTTTAATCTGCCAACTCTCAAAGAATTCTGTGATTTTCGCACCTATGAATTGCAGGCCATTGTCACATTACGATTTCTTTCGGAACTCCGAACCGGCATATGATGTTTCGCCAAATAATGTCCCTAACTTCTTTTTCCCGCACCTGTTTGAAGGCAGCTGCTTCTACCCACTTGGTAAAATAATTTGTTAATACTAATAAAAATCGTACCTTTCCTTTGGCTTGTGGTAGTGGACCCACGATATCCATCCCCACTTCATAAAAGGCCAAGGTGAGATAACCGGATGTAATAGCTCCGCTGGGCGATGCATGTTATTGCCATATCGTTGGCATTTGTCACACTTGGCCACAAAACTTTCCGCATCTTCTTCCATTTTTGGCCAATAATACCATGCTCTAATTAGAGTTTTTACCAAGGATCTTCCTCTTGCATGATTTCCACAGTGTCCCTCATGTACTTCTTTCATTACATACTCTGTTTGAGAAGGTCCGAGACATCTTGCTAAAGGCCCTCTGAACTTCTTTAATTCAGGTTGCCACGATCCAAACAATAACGGGAAGCTCTTCATTGATGTGACTGAACCTTTTTCTTATCTTCAGGTAGAATCCCGTACTGCAAGAAATTAATGAACTCGTTTCTCCAATCCCAAGTTAAGTTATTGAAATTTACCTCATTTTTATCCTGATCGAGTGCCGAATGAAACAAATGTATTACAGAAGCATTTTCTTCATTTGTTACTTCTGCAACGGATGCGAGATTTGCAACGCATCTGCTTCCGTATTTTCCTCCTTGTGTATCTACATGATTTCCGACGATTGGAATTGTCTGATTAATTCTCGTGCCTTTTCCAAACATTGCTGCATCCGCACCTCTCTAGCTATATATGTCCCCTGCATTTGATTAACTATGAGCTGTGACTCACTTTTGATTATGATTTGCTCTATTTTAAGTTCTTGTACCAATTCCAGACCTGCAATTACAACTTCATATTCTACTTTATTGTTAGTAATGGGATGACACTTTATTGCCTGCCTTATGGTTTCTCCTGAAGGTGGGATTAGAACAATGCCTAAACCCGCTCCCTTAACATTCGAAGAGCCATCAGTGAATAGGGTCCAAGTATCCGGATTAGACCTGATGAACACCTGTAGTTCCTTTTCTGCTTTAGGTACTATCCCTAAGTCTGCCACAAAATCTGCCAAAACTTGTGATTTTTTATTGCAGTTCTAGGTTGGTATGTGATATCATATTCACTAAGTTCTATTGCCCACTTGGCTAACCTAACTGACAGTTCTTGCTTATGCAATATATTCCTTAAGGGGTAAACGGTCACTACAGAGATAGGGTGACATTAAAAATAAGGCCTCAACTTTCTAGATGCCATGATTAGTGCTAAAGCAAGTTTTTCTAAATGAGGATATCGAGTTTCAACATCCAATAAAGATTTGCTAATATAATAAATTGGAAATTGTTTACCTTTGTCTTCACGTACTAACATTTCACTTACCGCCATTTCTGATAAAGCGAGATAGATGAGTAGCCTTTCTCCATCCTTTGATTTAGCCAGCAACGATGGGTTTGAAAATTATGCTTTTAGATTTTTGAGAGCTTATTGACATTCCTCAGTCCACTTAAATTGGTTTTGCTTTTTCAACACCGAAAAGAACTTAAAACTTTTCTCCGAAGATTCAGAAATAAATCTTCCCAAAGCTGCTATCCTACCTGCCAGCCTCTGTACATCCTTTTTGCTCGTGAGTATGTATGGTATTTCCTCAATGGCTTTGACTACTTCTATACCTCGGTTAGAAACAAGGAAACCTAAAACCTTACCTGAAGACACGCCAAAGGCACATTTTTCGGGATTTAGCTTCATATTGAATTTGCGAAGAACCTAAAAAGTATCTGACAAATGTTGAATATGATCCCCCGCCTGTGCTGGCTTGACTAGAATGTCATCGATGTAGACATCCATAGTTTTTCCCAGGTATTCTTGAAACATTTTTGTTACCAATCTTTGGTACGTGGCTCCAGCATTTTTTAGTCCGAAAGACATGACTTTATAACAATAAGTCCCCCTGTCTGTAATAAAAGAAGTTTTTTTCTCATCTAAAGGATCCATTTTTATCTAATTATATCCTGAATTGACATCTAAAAAACTCAACAACTCATGTCCTGCAGTAGAATCAATTAGTTGATCATATGCGGTAAAGGAAATGAGTCTTTAGGACAAGCTTTATTCAAGTCAATATAATCTACACAAACTCACCATTTCCCATTCTTTTTTGGTACCACTACAGTATTAGCTAGCCAGTTAGGATATTTTACCTCTCGTATGGACCCAATTTTTAAAAGTTTTTGTACCTCATCCTGAATCACCTGATTTTTGAAGGATCTTTGCTTCCTTTTCTTCTGTTTGACAGGTGGATATGATGGATCTTCTTTTATGTTGTAGGTCATCACCTCTGGTGGTATACCTGGTATATCTGAATGTGACCAAGCAAAGCAGTCCGCGTTAGCTTTTAAGAATTCAATTAACTTACCTTTCATTTCTGCGCTCAGGTTGGTTCCGATGTAAACTTTTCTGTCCGGCCAATGTATAAACAGCACCACTGCTTCAAGTTCTTCTATTGTTGTTTTGATGTTTTCATTCTCTTCTGGCTCTTAAATGATATCAAGCCTTGAATCCACGTCCGTTTGCCCACCTTCAGTTGAGGTTTGTGTTGCTAAATCCTCAACTGAATTCATTAATTGTTATTTTTTGTCTGCACCATCATTCATTATGCTCGAATCCGCCACTGAATTGATACTTCTGGAAGCCTGCTAATCACCACTTATTTGTCTAATCCCCCATTGTGAAGGGAACTTAATAACTTGATGTAAAGTAGACGAAACAACATCCATATCATAAATCCAAGGTCTGCAAAGAATCATGTTATACGCCATATCCGTATCTATCACTTGAAATTTCGTATCCTTGACAACCCCTCCTGCAAATGTGGTATGCACTATTTCCTCTTTTGTAACAACACTTGAATTGTCGAATCCAGATAAGGTTCGTGCTTTGGGCACCATTTTGTCATCAGCTTGCGTCTTGTTTACCACTCTTAAAAGAATGATATTTACGGAGCTACCTGGATCAATCAAAACTGGTTTCACATTAGTATCATGTACAAGTAAAGATATTACCAGTGTATCGTTGTGAGGGGTCATCACGCCATTTGCGTCTGCATCATCAAACGTTATGCTATCTTTTTCCAAAACTTGGTGAACTTGCTTTTTGTGGGTAATCGTGACTTTTGATGTCTTTTTTGCTGCCATATATGTCACACCGTTGACCTTCTCTCCTCCGCTTATCACATTAACCGTTCTTTTTGGTGATGGAGGTTTTGGTGGCTCTTGTATATTGTTCATATACGTTTGCTTACCCCTCTCACTAAACAAATCAGTTAAATAACCTTGTCTTAACAAATGCTATATTTTACCTTGTAGCAATCTGCAAGCTGCTGTTTTATGACCGTGGTCGATATGAAACGCGCACCAGAAATTTGGATTTCTTCTTCTAGGGTTCGATCTCAATTCTTTTGGCCACCGCACCTTCTCTCCCAAACTTCTTAAAATAGCTACCAACTCAGAAGTGCTAACATTGAAACTGTAATCACCAATCTTTGCCTTTGTATTAACATTGCCATCCCGCGTATCTCGCTCTTTTCCAAACTTGGATGATGAACCCACATCTCTATCTCTTGATATAGAATCGTACCTCGGATTCTCTTGTTTAGAACGTGAATCCCGTCCTGCTGGTCCCATGTAAGGTTCGTACCTATTCTTATCGGACCTTTTTCAGTTTCTGGTCGCCTCGAACTTGTTCTTTCATCTCCCCGTGATTGAGTGATAGTGTCTTCCTCTATCCGCAGCTTCGTACTATACCTGTTGTAAATATCATTCCAAGTTATAGCAGGGAATTCTCGTAAGCTTTCCTTGAGCCTCCTCATGACTTCTGAGCTTTTTTCTTTTAAGTTACTTGCAAACGCCATGGCCGCCCAGTTATCAGGTACCCGCGGTGACATCATTCTTTCACGCTAAAATCTATCCACAAATTTCCTGAGTAGCTCCGTATCTCCTTGTTTTATTTTGAAGATGTCTTCCATCCTCTTTTCAACTTTTTGAGCCCCTGAGTGTGATTTTTATAAATGAATCTGCAAGCTCAGCAAAAGAATCAATAGAATTTTCCGGTAAAAGAGAATACCATGTTAGTGCTCCTTTTGTGAGTGTTTCGCCAAATTTTTTGACCAGCACCGACTCAATTTCTTACTTGGTTAAGTCATTGCCTTTCACGCCAGTTTTAAAAGCAGTTACATTATCTCGTGGGTCGGTTGTTCCATCATACTTCGAAATATCAGGCATTTTAAAATTTTTTGGAATCGGCAAGGGAGCGACACTTGGCTTCTAGGATTGTTGTGAATATTTATCAATATCCACTCCTTTAATCACTGGTGGCACATTAGGTATTTGTTCTATGCGATCATCTTGCTCCTTGAGCTTGTTTCTACAAAGTTAGTACTAAACTTTGTAAATTAGAATTATTTGAGGTACCTAACCTTCCATCGCGAGATTCGTTGGGAGTTCCTCCGCTGTCCGAATTTGCGAGTCCCGAACGTGGGTTTTCTATGATTGCAGTGTTGTTTGGAGGTGGAGTTGGTGGCACAGTTGGCAATCCACTGATAAAAGCTTGAAGAGCATGGTTGACGTGTTCTACAATTAGCTGTTTCAATGTGTCCTCGGCAGTTTGTTCGTCCCCTTGTTGATTATTCGTATGTGATGTTGATCTTTGAGGTGACCTCTCTCGGGAGTGCTGAGGAGAATTTTGAGGTGAAGGGATTAGAGTTCAACCCTCTTGTTAGTTCTATTGGTTGTTGTCGTTGGCAGTCGACATGATTGTTTGGCAGAAAAATGGATTTTGAAAGTGAAAAGATTATCAATTTCCCGGTAACGGAACCAATTTGTTTAACCAAAAATATATCTTTCGGTCAAAGACTAATTTTAGAAGAAAACGGGCTTCTGATAACCAAGTTTAGCTTCACTTTTACAAAGATATCAAAGGAAAATAACAAGAATAATTAAGGAAATAATTGATTGCAAGGTTAAAGCAGAGAATTTCGAGAAAAGCAGAAAAGTAAAGTGAATATATTTCAATATTGTCTTAGATGATCCTTACAAGTGAAATTCCCTCCTCTTATATAGAGGTTTACAAATATAATGTTTCCTTCCATTTATGACTAAATAATTATGAGCTTTAATGGTATTAATGATCCGTTATAATTGGTAATCGTAACTGCTCACGAGGATTTTATAACGATTCTGATTCCCCCTCCTCATTAATTGAAGGGTCATGAATCTTCCCTTTCTACCGTCTTGATTCATTCTGCTCGTGTCTTTTTATTGACTTATTTAGGCTTGCTCGTACCTTTCGTAACTCGTTCACCTTTTATATTATGATATTCCAGTTGTCTTCTTCTCATTGTTCCACGTATCATGTCCTATTTGCCAAATGTAATTCCACGTGTATTATTTATTTTCCACCAATACATTGTACGCTTTTCTCAAGCATTGTGTAATTTTTCATCCTTCGGCAGGATCACAAGCAAGGCACTTAAGGGTCGTTTCGTATGATGAATGAGCAAAAATAATCTTGAGATAAAAATTCAGTACCGCCTTATTCCTTGTTTGGATAATTTATCCAAGTTAAAAAATAGTACTGGGATAACTTATACATGCCAGAGGGTCGATTAATAATTAAAGCAGTAAAATAGACAATCCCAGGATTAATACAATATACCAAAGTCTAAACAGTCAATAAGAAAATAATATCGGAATTAACTAATCCCAACATAACTTGTCTTCCAGCCAAACGACCGTTAATGTAAGAGATTAGGAAGCATTATACATAATCACACACCTACAACTTTCTCAATTTTGACACAATCTTGTAAATAAACCTATATTTTGAATACAAAGTTTCATGACTTTATAGAGTTTGCAACCAATATTCCTCTTTACATGAAGGTGTTCAGTACAGCTCCTTTTTTGACACGTGTTCTGACGACTCTAGAGTGAAAAGAAGATTGAAGAAAAGACATGCTAATTCTGAATAATTTTCAGTTGCTTAATTACCTGATGTGAAACTCTTTAGCAACTTATTATTTCATCTAAATGTCCTCAAAATTCAGTATCTTTCGGCTATGATTTTACCAATAAACATTACCAGCCAATCGGGACTTACTGTGTATGAGATAATAAGGCAACCAACGAGCCATCCATAATCTGCAATAGTTCACCATTGCAAATAAGAACTCTACTTGAATACCCTGATAATGCTAAATTACTGCCTTGACTTAAAATAAAATGAACAAAAAGGCTCTATAGCAAATACTCCATCGCAAATAAAACGTAATTAAGCAAGCCAAGCAGGATAAATTGAAGGGAAAATGTTCAAATTTACCCTACAGAATTACTCAATTTTGCCATATGTTACACTTCATATCCTTGCCATTAGTAAATCGGCTCATGCTTGCCCTCGCCATTGAAACAAACTTCAGCGCGAAATGGGTGAACTATACGTGTCCAAATTCTTTGAGGAAAAATGCTACAACTTTACCGTTCAGCTTTTGACTGGTTTAAAACTCTCTGTTTTGAGCTTCTTTAGTGGTCAAAAGCAAAAATAAAACTTTTTTCTAGAGATTGGGTAATATTAGACCAAAGGTTTAACATATGGCAAAGTTGATCAATTTTGAATAATACATGAGCAAATTTTACCTGTTACTTAAAATGTGCTATCGCAGTGATCCAACAAGTTCATCGTCCACCTATAAAACTTATTCTTCCAACTGCGAGATGTAAAGATAGCTAATTTCGACCATAAAACAGAAAATTCAACAAAAGGATCGAAAAACAAATTCATCATGAGCAGCTCGAGTTAACGTAAAGATGCCTACAGTTCACGAACAAATTTTTGTAAATGACAAATGTAATTGTTTGATAACGACAGCAGAAAAATTTCTTCAAACAGCATATAATTTACATATTGACTATTAATAAGGTTGTACAGACCCGAAATACCGAAAATCGACAAAGACAAGCAACTCATAGGCTTATTTGGGATTGGTGTGGAATAAGATATGGAGTGAAAACGGGGAAAGAGAGAGCTAAAAATGAATACACTTCTTTTTTCTTGGTTAATAATTTGTGAGGTAAACTAAGAATCCACCAAATTGTATGGAGAACTAGGTTTTCTATCAGTTCCCGCAGAACACACAACAGTAAGTAAATAACACGATAATATTTACGTGGAAAACTCCTAGCTCTCGGGATTAAAAATCACAACCTACACTCGTAGAATTTCAACATCACTAACTGAGCAACTTTAGATTACAACCTATTGTAAGATGGGAATTAAACTCTTAATCCCTCACCTAGCCTCTTTGTAATAACTATTACAAAGCTAACCACTTTGACTAACTCTAGTCAATACAAACACAAGGTTCATGAATTACAAAGTATCCTACGAGATGCTTCTTAATAAGCTGAGTAGGAGTTACAAGTGAATAACGTAAAAAAGACACAACAATACTAAGGACTCACGATGTATTCAATGCTGGGATATGGTCCTTTGTTATGTTGTTGTTTTGTTCTTCAATGCCTTAGAGAGAGTGAAACGGCTGCACACTTGAGAGTACATATATTTTTGGATTTTGCAAGTGTGTGTAATCTCTTTGTTTACCTTGAAAATGGTAAGTACAGTTAGATTTGATTTTGTGGTTCTAAAAAACGTGATTTATTTTTTTGCTAGTTGTTAAGCAATAGATGCTAAGTGTGTGACTAGAAAATAGGTTAAGAGCTTGAAGGTAACGTATTAAGCAAACCGAATGGCTGGGAATCGGGGCCTCGAGATGGCTAATATGGGGCCTCGAAGTTGAGCTATACGTTAGGCTGTGGACAATCGGCGAGGAATTAACAATTCTAAAGGCCTTGATGAGGGCTCTTTTATGATCAATGGTGAATACAATAAATGTAAGCAATAAATGTAAATAATAAGATCAAAGGAGAATATGTTCAGGTTAGAGAGCAGAGAATGCTCTTATTCTTGTATTGAATGTAGAGTGTTGTATATTGTACCTTACAAAAGGGCCCCCTTTATATAGGAGGAGAAACCCCAACATTGTACATGAGTAATTATTACAAAGAAAATATAGCTGGTACATCAATTCGCTAGTTTGGTACAGACTAGTGGTTCTCTTGCAGGTTTTGTCAACTTTGATCACTCGCCTTGGGAACTTGCCGCTCACCCATGATAACCATCGATTTGTGCTGCCCCGAGGTCGGTCATGAAGGATCCTCGAGGACTAACCTCGAGTTGTGCCTCGGGCCTTCAAGGTGAAACTTCGGCGAGGTACAATGGTCATAAAATCAGGCTCTCCGATTTTAGCCGCGCATAGATAGTCCCCGCGTTTCTTAGATTAAAAAAGATAAGAAACGATCTTGAATCCTCGCCCCTTCGATACTTCCATCACGACGGTAGTCATGCCCTATCGAGCGATTGACGCGACACAATAAGGTGTCTAAAGGCCGCGTCCATGCAGCCCTTTTTTGGAAGTCTCCGAATTAATTACAGCGGTTGGCTATCCTTTGGTTTGCTCCAACGTACACATTAGATCTCTATAAATACTTCTTCTTTCACCTCTTATTTTCCACTGCATCACCAAACCCCTAAAAGATTTCTTTTTACTTCTCCCTTGTGCTCTCTTCCGAAGCGGGATTTTCATTTCTCCTCAGAAATTTCTTAACAAGAATGGCGAAAACTTCTACCTCTGTTTCTCAAGAAGATGTGCCTTCCTCTTCCTTGAGCTCGTCTAAGGGAAAAGCAACAGAGCCCCCTCTCTGTTGGGGAATGCGTTCTAGGAGCCTTTGAAATGAACCCGTGCCCCGATATATCAGTATAAGACCGAAAAACACTCCTCGAAGCCGGGGCGACGCGAACCTCTGTCCCGATATATCAGTTTAATAGCAGATG